AACCAAATGCAGAAGATGATTGTCAGAATTCCCCCAAATTTGAGCACACAGCCAAGTAAACATTCATTGAGTTGGAAGACTTAAGTGCTTCAGTCGCTCCTGACAATGGGGCTCCATCTCCTGATAGTGAGGACTGACTGGCCTACATGTGTACTTCTGTATTTCTGTTTAATTATGTATGAAAAGATTACAGCTTCTTTTTTCTCCGTTCAGAACTGTTGCTGCAAAATACAAGGATAGGCAAGTTGGCACAGCGGTGGCTACCCTTACCTAGCGTATGACTTTTAGGTGTGTGGGAGTAATTTGGAGACAGATGGCTGCGTCCACTTTCCTTCCGCTCGAATGTGGCGTGGTGCCAGGCGGCGGGGTCTGCGAGCCACCTCCCCAGCAGCGCTGGCTCCGCTCTCTCCCCACAAGCACATCCGTGGCCAGCCGCAAGCGTTAAGGAGCCCTGCGTTTCAACAGCGGCGTGCTAGAAGTTACCACCTCGTGCACAGAGGGTTTTGGCTATTTTTAGCTTCCAAAGAGCAGTTGTTTCTCCTGGGTATTTTGATTAGTACCTCCCTGCAACTTCAGGGAGGACTCTTCTTAACAACTTGAGCTGTAATAAATGTGAGTACCTTTCATTTATTCATATTATGAACTATACGTTTCTGCATTCATTATTAATTATTTTAAACCCATTTCCTCACTGTGCATGTAACTGCAGTGGAGATAATGATTATTATTAATTCAGCACAGTCTATACTACGTTTATTTGTTTGTTTCCATTGACACGGCAAACAATGGAGAGAGAATAGAGACATCAGTGTCACCGACCAGAAGTATTGATTATTTTCCAAAAAAACTAATCTAAACTTTGTAGGTTTTGGAGTCACTCTGTCCTGTACTTTAACCTTTCTTTAAGACTTTTTTCTCCTTTCGACTTTTAAGTTTCTCCTTAAGCTGTTGTGGTAAAATTAGAACTTTGTGTGAGAACACACTGAAAATTCTTCACAGAAACAAAGGAAAATGATTGAGTCTAAAGGGAAAAAAAAAAAAAACCAGAATGAAATGTTACTTACAACATAACCGCGTTCAGGTAGTGTGCCAGCATAGAAGAAATCAGCCGTGAAAATCACCCGAAGAAAATGCCTCTCTCTACTTTTAGACCCATAGGAGCCTGTCAGCTCCTGCAGGACCCATGAAGGCAGCTATGAAACAGACTGTCCCTTTCAATCTATATTTAGAGTTCATCTTGGCGAAGTATACTGACTTCACAATATTGATCTGCTTAAAAAGAAATCAGCACATATTATTATCTTCATTATATTGGAATCAGGGTAATATCCTACCGCGGCGAACGGGAAGGTTTGTTACTGACGATCAATGTTTCACTAACCTTTTGGTTTACGATGCCTTTTTAAAACTCATTTCCTATGCAGAAGAGTCATATCTACAACACTCTAGCTATGAGTAACCAGTTTGCTATGCCCAGGAGCCATATCTACACTACTGCAGTCAGGAGTATTTTTAAAGGCATAGACTAGAAAAAAGCAGAGTATTTTCTTCTTTCTCCGATGCACCTTACAAATTTAGGTGGGACAATAGGATGGGATGGAATAATTTGTCTGGCATCCTTAGTTGTTTAAATTCTGATGAACTGTTTGTGCGTACTGGTAATTGCTCCTTCAACAGACAGTTCTCTTGATCACCAGTTTTTTGTTGCCATCATTGCAGAACATAACATTATAGCACGCTGTAATGACAGGCAGCTGATGCTTATACAGAGGGACCACGGCTCAGACAAATCCTTTCCGAAGCCACTCTGTACCTCTCATGTTTTGAACGCCTTTAAACTGACAATAAGCATATTTTTCTTTCAGGAAACAAGCGAGAGGATACATCTTCTGACTTGTAGTTTCCCACCCCAAGCTGACAAGCTCTGCCGCTGCCCAGTCTGTGTAGCTGGGCCAGTAATGCAGCCGTAACAAGCTTGCTCCCTTTCTGCAGGGCTCTGCCAGAAGTCATCCCTCTGAACAAGGATGTGCAAGCCAGGTAGAAAAAATTAAAAAATAAAAAAAATAAAAATAATCCCACTTCCACCCCTGAAAGATTCCTGACACCACCCTAACTGGAAGACAAGGACCCAGGCCTCTCCAGTTCTAAGCTTGAAGTGGTCTATCAACCCCTCAGATCTCTGCAGGGCAGGAAAACAGCCCGTCTCCCCTCAAAGCCTCGGAAGCCATCCCGGTCTCTGTGGTTAGCAGCTACGGTGCGATGGGGGAAAAGGCAACCGCATGCTTGGCCCCCTGCCAGGAGGTGCTGTATAAAGCCATTTTGCAAAATCCTGGCAGAGCAGGAAGCCGTCAAAAGCACTACTTCACATTCACAAAGCATGCTGACAGCAACTACCCAGAAGCCACAGAGGAGCGCAGCAGGCTTGTGGGAGCCGTTTAGGCCCAAGGGGGCAACATTTTGGGCTGGGCAAATACAGGCAGACAGCTGCCTCCTGTTCAAGGAGTTTCTTCTCCACTTGTGTGACAGACACCAGCAACATGCATCAATAATAGCACAGAGTGCAGCTGAAGGCCTTGTTGTAGCCTAAGTGATCAGTTTCATAAGCCAAACAATGCCTTACATGATGCATTATTTGGAAAAAAATCCCCAAAAATATATTAGAAGGTACAACTAATTAGCCTGTATGGATTTTGTGGAAGAGGTTCTGCTGTAATCTGAAACTAGAAAAAAAAAAGAAAAAATCCAACAAACCAAACTTTCCCTTATCAGAGCAAGCAAGAGGTTTCAGGGTGGGGTTGTTTTGGGGTGCAAGGTTCACCTCCTCCACTGATAACTTGACATACGCTTTTAAGAATGTTTATTTTAACAAGCAGTTTTATTTATAGATCTTCTGGTGCAAAGCTCCAGCTATCCAGGTTTTGGTGTCTTTATTACATAAATGCCCCACCATCCCCAAGACAGACAGTTGGCAGCTACTGGCACATTTTGGTCCTCTAGAGCCAGAGACTGAAGACAGAGGAGTTTTCAATGTGATAAAAACAGGGCAGCTGGAATGGCTCCCATAAGATAAGGGAGGAGGTGTTTTGCAATACCAGAACTAGAAAAACATTTGACCATTACAGAAGTGATGGCAAATGAAGAGCAGGTTGTTGTGCAGACAGTATGTAAATACACAGCACCTACTAAAGCTTGAGACTAACTCAACCACACGTCTGAACAGGCAAACCAACCATCCCATCTGTTTATACCTGTAGGTTTTTGCTAGCGTTCCAGCTTCCCATTCATGTAGTAATCACTTTTACACAGAAAGCAAGCAGCGAGAAACATTTTTATTCCAAAAATGAAACATCCGATTTCAGAACATGAGTATCTTGGTTTTATTTTACATTGAGGCAAGTATTTGTCATTCCCCACTTCACTGGAAGTGAAGGCAATTGAACTTCATACTCCCCTTCAGGATAAAATCATACTATGTAGAAATTTCTTTGTCCGCCTGCCACTGAAGAGTTTAAAAAAGTTACTAAAATAACTTCACATGAACAAGTTCATCCTTTCATATTAGCACACTTTTACCAAAATACTTGGTCAATGAATTAATTTAATTTACCTTTATATAAAGTAAGGAATCCAATCTGACACATGGCATTTGACTACGGTTATGCGCCTCATTTCACAGTTCAGTTACAATATATTCAACCTTTGGAGCAAGTTGCATCTACCGCAAGCATTATCATATATCCCTGCACCCAACCTTATGTCAATCTATATACAGTGCGTATGCGACTAAGCAACAACATGCATTATATTTACAGACTTTATACAACATCCCTGGGCACAAGTGCAAACTGTGATTACAGAAATTAAAAAGTTAAAAGTTACAAATCTATTTTAATTATGAAAATTGAACTTCATGGAAAAGGAGATCTAGAAAAATTCCCCCACGTCTGCTCTTTTATCACGACATTTACTTCTAGCCTTTGTCCGAGCCTTGAATGCTGCAGAGTTGTACAAGTGCTACAAAATAAAAGGAAAAATTAATCACAGATGTTCAAAAGGCTTATGTCTTTTAGAGATTTTTTTTTTTAAGTTAAGCAACAGCTGAAAATATCTTTTTATTCATCTTCAAAGTAAATTGGTAGGCCTTCTGAAATTTATAGTGCAATATCTTTGCACCAAAGGCTGATTCATTTTAATATATACACATTTAAAAGAAATGGAGCTAGGAGCAATTCTGGAAGCCGGTCAGTCTTGAATATCAAACAGACACAGTGTAGATTATGTTTGCCCCCCCAGATTAAACTTGGTAGCACCGTTCCACACATTGTTTGTACACGTGGCGAGTACATTCACAACCAACAGAACAAAGTCATCCTCCTAGTGTCCGTTTCACACTGGAGAGTTCAGGACACTGTCTTTTTGAAGACTCGGTTTCTGTGGTTTCCTGTAGGTCCCTACCCAAAAGCCTATGGTGCTCCCAAGAGCCCAGGTTTCACATGTATGGAGCATGAATCTGGTACCACTCAGCAACCAAGTCCAACCTTCAGACCCCCTTGGGTCTGAAAAAAAAAAAAAAGCAGTAGCAGACACATGCCCAGTGGAAAATCTAAAACAAGAGCTCAAAGATGCATACAAGCAAGGTTTGGTTTCATTCAGGGCAATGCAAGGCACTGTTAGAACTAAAGTGAGGAGTTTAAAGATGACAGTTTCTGAAGCGCATGCTTGGACTACCATTTAATTCCAGAGAAGTGTATTAGTTTATGAAGCAAAGAAAATACGTTAAGGTGCAATAACCTACCCTTTCAAAACGGGATATCTTCATTGTTTTAAGAGTTGCAGCATCTAGCATTACTGGTGGACCAAGCTCAAACACATTCCGAAGAAAGTCATTTGACTAAAAAAAAACCAAACACATCAAGCGATCAGTTTCTCCTGATTATCAAGTCTCCAAAGATGACTACTGTTAAATATCACGTATTCCAGTAAAATAGCCGCAATTTGACAAAAATCTTAGTATCTTTTGCAAACAAGCCAGGGAACACTTCTTCCCTTGACAGGAATAAGGCTAAGAACTAAAACTGCCCTCTTGAAAAGAGAGAGACAGCTTCCCCCTCCCCCGCTGATTTTTGTCCCAGCATGGTAGACACTGTTCTGTTACATCCTCTGCACCAGATTAAGGCAGCTGGACACAGACCCATATGGTTTCACAACACACCAACTTTAGAATACCTGGCTGCTAAAGTAGTATCTGAAAAATTTGAAAAAGCTGCTAAGTGCCTGGGCTCCCTCAGTCACACAGAAATGCAACTGACACCAGACTGAAGATTTTAACCCCATGATTATCATAGCAATTTGGGAGTCTATACTCCTAAGCGTCCTTCTGCTACATATCTAAACAGGTGACTTGTAGAGATAAGGACTTATCCCTTCCTTTCTGGAAAGCTGTCCTCATCGGGCTGCAAGTTGCATTCGTTATTTTTGACTAAAACTTTGCATTCCTTTTTACAAGCTTGAACAGGGAAGGTGGGTGCACGCAGCTTTACAGCAGCCAGATGACTACACCACTCTGCTGAAAGAGAGCTTAAGGATTCCTGAAAAACCATGAAGCTAAGACAATACTCAGCTTGAATCTCTTACTTCTTGGAGAAGTCTAATTGCTAACCCAGCACACCTAGGCTACAACTCGGAAGCAGCTCACCCAGCTGGCTCTAGCTCACTGTAGTTCATTTTGCAAGTGCTGTCCCTCAACACTTCTAATGCAAAGCCCATCATTTCACCAAGTTCTACTCCTGATTTTGTAATTCACACTGAATTACTACCAAGAAGCCAGACAGGGAACAACAGCCTGAGCACGTATCAAACAGCAACTCACCTGCAAATGATACTGCATCCCTGAGCCCAGAATCTCCTTGAAGGTATCATAAGTTTGTTTTTTAACCCAGCAGTCAATATACATGCGCTCAGGTCCAAACTTCACCATCTCTGTAGGAAAGTCACGCTCCTATCCGAAAATTAAAGGAAAAAACATATATACAATTCCTAATACAAAAGATTTTTTGGTTTAGTATTATATATATCAATGAACTTTATTTTCATTAATAAATTTGGCACACCAAAACATTCCAATAATAACATGCATATACCAAAGATTGTATTTGTTCATAAACTGATGAATACCTAAAGTTAAATCCCCTGTAAGACTTGAGGCTGACATTCTCCAAGTCAGAAAGCATTTAAAAAAAGGAACACTTAACTTTCACCTTTAAAATGACTTTAAGAATTGGACTTATCTCCAGAAAAACCAGTTCTGAGTGCAGGAGTCACCTTTAAGTCAGTTTGCAAGCCTCATTTAGTCCCCACCTTTCAAGAGTGGTGAGTTACATTTGTGACGATGGAATGCAACAAGTGCTAGTAAGTGACTCAGATTCTTCTACAGGCAGAATCTCAAAGGCTACTTCAAATCACTTCAAAGCCTTCTCCTTAGCTTCCAAGATGTTTAACTGTTCTGAATGTCAATATTTAGTTGGTTTTACCCATACAGCAATGTAAAAAGTAATTATCTGACAAGTAATAAGTCTAGTTTGAGAGCTGTAAGGTAACAAATAATCCATGAAAGTGACAGAAGTTTGACATTTGTCTGAGAGTCTTTACTCAGAAGTTATGTCAGTAACCACATACTTTTAGAGTCCTGCTTTGCATATCCTTAATCTGGATATGTAAAACCAGAAGATTACAGCACCACAATTAGGACAACAACTCCCTTCCTACACAAACACTACCTTGGCCCCTGACAGAGGTGCCATTTGGAACGGTATCTTACTGCTAAGTTGCTTTTTGTTTATTTTGCACAGCAGTTCAGTAAGAGATTTTACAATAAACCACAGAATTCAGGACTCTAATTTGGATGTCCTACAAAGTTTTCTGTGAAAAAAAATCTACTCATGGTACAAAATAAAAATAATTTATTATTTACAGTGCAATGTTTGCCTTCTTTAAAGAAAAAATATACTCTTCAATATGCAAGTCAATTTTGGAGCAAAATAAACTAAGTTTTACTTTCTTTGTTCTACATTCCTAAAAAAGCAGTTATATTTCACGTAAGTGATCAGAATTTGAAATCTCATTTATTTTTTTCCTGTTGCTTTCACTGAAACACTAATTCCATTTAATAATAAAACCATTTTCATCAAATTGCACACTACATAGTTAGAATCCAGACATTCAAAGTAAGACAAAAAGAATCACCTCAACAGCTCGTAGAACATCTCTGAAGACAGATCGCTGCTTTCTTTTATCTACTTTGGCTCGGTGCTTGTTTCCATCAGTGGCCAGAGCTCTTAGTTTCTCGGTTAGAAGTTCCATATCTTCATAAAAGAAATCCTAGTCAAAAAAAAAAAAAATTTTTTTTTTTTTTCCTTTCTGGCCTTAACATCCTTCGCTGCAAACAGGAAAATGGATCTGTCCAAATTCTGGGCATGTGGACCTCTACAACCTCTTACTTTGTTATTTAATGTTAACGAGACAGAGATGGCATTAACTTTCCTGTAGTCCCATTTGCAGTGTTTAAGCCATTAAGCACAAAGTCACAGCATCCAGTCTACCCAAGCAGGACAGTATCAAACTCTATTCTGGTAGTCAGAGCCACGTGAAACAGTACAGCTCCTTCAGTGTGTGTATAGACCTGTCAATCTGTTCTGCTCCGCAATTCCAAGGGACTCAAACTGACTAACTGATTTGCTGAACCTGGCTGCCACTGTCGACAAGCTGAGGACACTTTTCAGGTTATTAGCACACAATTCATGCTGCTGAGGTGGATCGTGAGACACCATTAGACTGACGGTACAGAATATTTAGTCACAGGTCTTGTATGGGGTGGAAAATTAGAAAGCAATTAAAAAAAATGCTTTAACAAAACACTCCAAGTAAACTTTAATGCATAATTGTTTAGCAGGAAATATTTCCTCCTCTCCATTTACTAATTCAGCAGTAGTTTACCTGGATTAGTAACAATGTATGTAAACTTATTTAAAACCAAGTTTTTGTGGGTTTTTTAATCTGAATGTTTTGTCATGTCAGCTGACTAGGCTGAGTTTACTGCATGCTTTTTGAAAGAAACTGGTCGAAGGCAAAACACAGTAAGCATTTTTAATCTGTGCTGATTGTTAAGGATATAAAGAGAACCATTTGTAATGATTAAAGGGGCATTTCCTCAATGGAACAGAAGTTTTTAGTGAATATAGTCTCATTCGTTAATGCATTTTAAGATTTTAGTTACTTGCAGTCAATTTGATCAAATAAAGGATCAAGTTCTGGTCTTTTTTTTTTCCTCCTTTCAAAGTTTGCTCCCATAGCCAAGAGACTCAGATCCCTACTGTTTGCAATTATACAGAAGCCTCAGCATATTGTTTCAGATTATGCAGCATTAAGTGTGTCATGTACCCTGACTCAGCTGGAGTTATCTTTTCACTTTGGATGGTGTTCTGGCAAAGCACAGCAGCCTTGATCGAGCTAGGAGCCATTCAGGCAGCCCTGCCCAACCATGCCATGGGTAAGGGGAGACTGTTTCTTTCAGTGCTGTCAAGAAAATAGTTCAGAAATTAATACGGCATATTGAAGAATGTAAAGGCAAGTTCAGCTGTGTATTAGGTAATACAGAGAAGCTTGCACACCTATTGCAACTCAAAAGCCAGCCCCGAGAATCTCACCAAATGTAGGAGTACTGGTATCTATACAAAATTTGTGTAAAACCTTTCAAAATCTCCCCCCTTAATTGACTGTCTAGTCCCCCCAGCTGACTAAAATAGTCACAAATGCTGTGACACCATCATGCAACACTAGTTATTCTTCTCAAGGTACCTAAAAAAGAATACTGAAAAAACAGTACTAAAAGTCTACATGGTTTCTGCTGAAGGATAGATTTTTAGCTGTGAGAGCAGGACTGTGCAGGCTGTGAATCACTGGAACTTGTCTGTGTAAGTATCTAATGAGTGTTCTCACTAAATAAGCAATACTGGTTTATCCTGGAATATCTCTAGGGTGGGTTTTTTTTGTTTGCTTTGTTTTTTTAAAGGTCACGTTGGATTTAGATTTTAAAGCTTGCACACTACATTTCTAGTTCCTCTTCAGTACTGCTTGATGTGTTTTGTTATATTGGTCCTGTTTTGCAATATGGACATCAGTGTAAAAATGATAGCTAAATTGCTGCGAATCATTGCTATACCCATTTAGACTGGGGCAGACTCACTACAAAGAACATAGCCCAGCGATTGTCCGCCACTTGTTGAGATCTGGGGTGCTATGCAACACAGGTTAAATAATTTGTCTTGTCATCATCCCAATGCAAGACAATTTAGCTGCTGACATCTACTTACAGTGTCCGTTTCGCGTGCCAGTTCAAACAGAAGGGCTAGTGTTTCTCCAGCAGCTATCCTCATGTTGAGATCATCACAAGACAGCAGACTTGGAAGTTTATGCAAGTGCCTAAGGAGTAAGTCACATTTCATTATGATGTGAATTTTGTTGACACTGCTTCATCGCATACAAACCGAGCCATTACAGATTTTGTTTTCCAAGAAAGATACTCACATTTCAATTTTCTTCTTCACTTCATTCATTGGACAGATGGTCAACAACAACGTCCATGCTAAGAGAGCACTGATGTGAAGCACGGTATTGTGGGTACTCGATACACCATTAGTGTCTCTATCTCGCTGATAGGCCTTTGTGAAGATGTTTTCCAGGCATTCCATAGTAGAGTACAGTTCCTGCCCAAGGAGGAAAAAAAGATCATGGAAGTGGCTTAAGATTCCCACATTTTCATATTGTTAATTTACTAAAAAAAGTATTATTTATACTCACCGTAATGTCATCAGTGACAATGAAACAGCAAATCCCTAAGCAGGTTGCACACTAGACACAAAAGAAAGAAGTGTTAGTACTGACGTTAATGTTACTGTTGACAAAACCTTCGAACTCTGACTTCCGAAGTTCAACACCCAGAGTAATGGAAAGGTGAGATTAAGACTTTAGTAGAGTAGAAGTCTTCAACACTGTTTAATTCAGCTACTTTGTAACAGCTCTCAGTTTCCATTTACTCTCAGGATGACTCTACAACATGGCTACTCACAAGCCTTTGCTTTTCATGCTGTATTATGTAATATAGCTTACAAAGCCCCTCCAAAAAGCTACATGTAGCACTCCTTTCACCCAATTATTTTAAAACCCACTAGGACTCACCAGCAGAAATTAAGCTGATAAACAGTAATGGACATATGATATTTATTCACAGCTATGGGAAATATTTTCCCCTCTCTGCTCACTATTACAATTAAATGACCTGAAAACACTGGACTTCAAGAACCTTTCTTGGCACTTTCCAACTTCCACTGTGACACCCTACACAGCTCTTCCCTATCCCCTATATTTTGCTCAGTGTCCTCTTGCAAAGACTCAAGAAAAAAAATATTTGAAAGTGATGTTGGCACTAACTACACAGGACTCAAAACTACACTTAAACAGGACAAGCTTTAAAATTTAATAGCTTTTGTTTGCTTGTAGAAACAACTGCTGTTGAACTAATACTACCTCCTCTTCCAGCTCGAGAAAAATAAGAGAAGTAGCCAGCTATGTAATGATAGAGGCAAATTGGAGAATATTAGTCAAAACAGAAGCTTAAAGAAAACCCCACCACTCTTGGCAAGAGCATTGGACTGTCTTCAGTCAATACTTCAAGTATACTGCTGATGTACAGATGAGTTGACTGGGTGACAAACTTAAAATACTTTTGGTCGTATGTCTGTATCAAGTATGTAGTTCTAGATCTGCTATATGTAACTTTTATCATATATAAATATATTTGCGTAAGTAACATTCCTCTGCTGTTAAAGAAGTTAAAATCATAAAAATACAGGAAGGATACATCAATCAGTGGGAAATCTTTCATTTTTTTTCTATAGGATTTCAACACCAGCCCTCAGAACTGCAGTAAGGAGACTGCAACATAGTGAGTTAAGACACTTGCCTAAGTACTAGATGTAAGAGCTCTTTAAGGAAGTTCCTAGGTTGAAGAAGAGAATGACAGTCAACCTTTAGGTGGAGCTTTTTAAGCCAGTGAAAACTGCTGTGCATCATTCAGAACATAGGTCAACATTATATGAGTTTACACTAGTAACCTTTAGTTCTGGATTACTCAATAGTGAGCTGGTCAAAAACTGCCCTCTGTCCCTTCCTGGCAAATAAACATTTTATACTTACAGCCTGTCTGGCTTGGATACTGGCTGTTCCATCACAGACAATCTTCTTCAGAACCGGACCAAGGGTCTTAAAAATCTCTTCACTTTCAATTCCTGACCCCATCTGCACACACAGAAGACATGCCAGTCCGGCAGCTGCACACTGTTCGTCGCTCTTACCTAGAGATTAACATGCTATCATGAGTAACCACCTTGTGCATATTGCTTCCTTCCTTTAAAGATAACTAGTCTGAAAACTTGCAAGTGGAAATTCAGAAACCAACAGACAGAAGTTAATTTGCTAGGTCAGTTAAAACATAACATCTAAATTCAAAACCAGAATGTTGTTAACATAACTGAATTAAGCACTCTGTAAAGTACTAGAGAAGCCTCACAGTCATAATCCCTTTTAGACAATAAGCAATTTCATGGGGATTATTGCTTTCTAATAGCAAGTATGTTAATTACCTTTCTTTATGCAGCGTTCAATGCTATCAGTTAGTGTCATTCTCCTTTCCATGACAAATTCATATAGTATTTTAGAAGAAAAAGCACTTTTCAGACTTTCAAGAGCTGCTTGTCTTGTCTTTGCACTGTCAGAAGAGAAAAGGAAGACCTCCTGAAATCAGCGCACATCAATTAAAGCTCAGCCTTTATTTTTACGGTAGTTCATATTTGTCTGCGTCCAACAGAAGAGTAACCCACAGCAAAACCATGAAGTGTGAAATGCTATGAATTGCCTCCTTCCTTAAGGACAGGGGAACGTAGGGTGGAGATAAAAGGTCACAACAGAACACCGAACTAAAGTCACTCTACTTCAAGCTATTAGGAAAGGAAAGTCTGACTCTCACTTATCCAAAAGCTTGGTGGAGGAAGAAAGGTCTTTTCAGATCCCAAAGAAAACCAAGTCCTCCCCAGCATGAAATAATTGTAATTTCAGTAAGCATATAAAAAAGTTTGATGCATATTTCCCTTATTATATCAGAGGAAGCCAGAAAACAACATATGAATGAGATTCTTCAAGCATACTTTACCTCTTATCCAACGTAAGATCAATAAATCCCTTCAATTTGTATTCTAAGTCTTCTTGAGTGGCTTCTTCATCAACTTCAGGCCCTAATCCAGAGGAAATAATTTAGTCCTACTGACACATATTTTATTAGCAGACACAGTAGTATCCAACACTTAATGTTTTTAATACTAATAAGATAGCAGTTTAACATGGACAATAGCTACAGAATTGTTCAGTACTACAGCAACAAAATGGCGTTAAGCCTACTATATGAAACTGCCCCTTAAAAGGCTTCTACAAAAATTGATCTATTGATACATCTCCACTGTTTCTATACCTGCTTCTTACATGTGCCAAGAATGAATGAGGGAGCTAATCAGGTCTTACATAAATTTGCTACAACTGATGCCCACCAGCCAATCCTGTCAAGACATTTTCATCCAGTCCACTACATCTACCCCTGGAATACAGCAGGGCGTTCACTGTTGATGCAGCGAGTACTGTCTGAGCAGCCTGTCCTGTCTGGCATCACTTCAGATGCCTCTGCAACAGCACCTCTGTTAAGAGTAGCAAGTATTCATAGGGAAGGCTCCCTGCCTTATCCCCAATCCTGCAGCAGGCTTTCAGGTCCCCTCTTCCCAACAAAATGACCTTAGTGTAGACCAGGTTGCACAAATGGTAGTGGAGACAAAGCATAAATCTAGTTCAAAAGAGGCAAATGTGACTCTTTCCATCCCAAGCTCTTCTGCAGTTCTTACCACCTCAATTATGTGTTATGAAAATCAATGTCTTACAATGCACCTTAAAATTCTTATCATCTCCAAAAGTTAGCATTGTATAATTCTAACAGAAAGATGTCTAATAGTTTAATGAGAGGCTCGTGAAACCTCTTACCAAACAAAACAATAGCTGCTAGATTAACAATCATAGCATTTAACAGAACGTCATTGCTTTGCTCCTTGCAGTCTAGTACTTAAACCCTTAAGTCAACTCATGTTTTCTGTTTCTAAAACAGATATAGAATACAAATGCAAGAACATACCATCCTCAGTGAAGCTAGCAGGATCACTGAAGCCACTGCAGTGGCTCATAGTTTCAATTGAAGCATCTTCATCACTAAAAGGCTGCACATTTCTGGGCTGACCACCTTAAGGAAAGACAAAAGCAATAGTTTTGGTCATTTTTCATATGCAAAAGGAAGATCTGAACACGAAAAGTAGAATTTAACCCTCCCAACAGATTCAGTCTCCCCAATTAGCACGTTTCTTTCCTCTGCTCGGTCCTTCACTCCCACATGTTCTGAAGACTTAGTTGGCTCTGTTCTGGAAGATCGCTCGTGAATGGTGGGGAAGAGCCTACCTAGTTTTCAAAGTATTGGTAGAACTCCTAACTCTAGATTTAGGATCTTTCTACAATCAACTTCAAGTTAATGCAATTTCCTGTGGCTGTGCTTTAAAAATACCTTTATACTAATTTAACTGTTAGGACTAGCTACCTAAAAAAAAATTGCTACACAATCTTTATTTTTCAGTTCCGAGTGACTTTGACCCAGGGTAAGTTATACATTTAGGCAAACATACATTGCCCAGTTCAATGCAGGATTTACGGGATTAAGTGTAGTATGTGCAGCATCAGCAATGTCCAACCCTATTTTAATACTGAGTTACAAATAAGCGCCAGAACATCAAATACTTCAACAGGGGAAAAAAGTTTTCCCTTTCAGGACTGAGAAGGCCTCGGTTCAGTAACTTCAGTCATTTTTAAGAAAGCAGTATTATTTTCACCAGCGCTCATCTCTACAGCTTTTCATACCTGTATCTTATTGTTAGAGCATTAAAAGTTGGAAGAGTTTGACCTGATCATACTGTAACTTCTACCGCTGCCCTACCCTAGCCCTTAGCTTGCATCTACTGAAGTGGATTAACGAAAAGTTTTACTGTTCTTTCTCCAAGAGGTCACAAATTTCATTTACAGAACTCTGAACTCTGCTCTTCCACCTATTTTTCTGTAGTACAAATGATTCAAAATTATTTAAGAAGGTAGTGCACAGTGCTCGCCAAGACCCAGAAAAATAATTTTTATCTAGGCCAAATCAACCCCGAGTTAATTACCATCCAATAAAGTCAAATTCACACTTCTGAAGTTTTGCAGCTCTTAGCCACAAACCACCTACTTCTGTCACTGACCAGAACCCTTGATGTTTCCTATAGTTACAACGGACAGACATTAGCCAATACACAGACCAAGAAACTTGGAAGCTCAGAGCTCTGGCACAGCCACCGTCTTGCTTCCAGGAATGTCAAGCAGGGAAGTTCAATGGGAGAAGTGGCAAGAATGGCTGCCAGCCCTTCACAAACTAAAATAAAAGCAGCTGCAGAAGGACCGAGTGAATCGGTCACTTCCTGAACATTTGATACCAGAGACAGACCGCTCGCAGCTACGGTAGCCTGAAGTGAAATTTCTCACCACCCCACAGAATCTGCATTCCGCCGGGCACCAGCACCTCCGCCACCACATTCCGGATTTGCACGCAGCCTGTTTATTTTCTAATACCCTCCCTCAGGCGAAGAAGGTTTTTTCGAAGATACTGCAGCCCTCGGGAGCACGATGCGCTGACACACAGCCACAGACCCCGGAGTG